CACATTGGTGGCCAGCGCTGTCGACGACCTCCAAGATCAGTTAAAACACGCGCTCGGCTACGGAAAGACAGTTCTTTGCTTGGGCGACACAAATATTAGTTTATTGCAACATGACGCTCCTGGAGTACGTCAGTACAAAACCGCCTTGAAGGAACTGTGTCTTACTCAACTAGTCACCGAGCCAACCCATCTATAACCCTCTACCTCAGTCATCAAGCATATCATCAGCAATGTTTCGAATCAAAACGCTTCAGTCCTTACGTCATCTGACCAAATCGCCGATCACCTCACAATCATCGTTCGAGCACAGCTCCGTCGTCAGAGCCGTCGGCCGTCCAAGTTCAAGGCACGTCCTTGGCGGAAAGTTAATTGGAACGCCGTTCGCCTATCTTTGGTTTATCAAAGTGGAGTGAAATCTACATCGCGGATAGCGTGGACAATAAATTAGCCGCTTTTCTAAATCTGTGGTGGAAGGCAGTGGACACCCACTGCCCCCTAAAAACTGTAACCCCTCGTCGACCACGGTGCCCCTGGATAGAGGACAATGAAGAGCTTAAACAGCTCATGCGTGAAAGGGATACGACTGTCCGTACATGGCAACATTCTCGATCCGTCGATGATAGATATGCATACCGGAGATTGCGGAACCTTGTGAAAGGGCATCTATTAAAAAGTAAACGTGACTTTTTGTCAGCTCACATGTTATCAGATTGACGCTCTATTTGGCACAACATATCTGAATTTACGGTGCGTCCTGCGTGTGGGGGAAACATAGGCAGCTTTGGGATGCCGACAGAACAGGCAGATGAGTTCAATCGTCATGTCGCCACAGTCTGATCGAAAATTGCTGCGGAGCTGGCCGTCAGCGGTCCATGTCGGCTCCCGCCCAGGCCGCCGCGTGTGACGTCAGCGGGTCTGCGCCTGAAGCCGGCTACACTGTCAGAACTGTCTTTCGGGTTACGAAAGTTGTCAGCATCTAGAGCAGTGGGGCATGACGGTGTGCCACTACACGCAATCAGAGCATGTTTTCCTGTGATTGGTCCACACTCACTGCATATTGTGAATGCGCCCATAATATCACGTCATTTTCCATTATCATGGGAGCTCGCGACCGTGAAGTGGTACCACTTCATAAGTCCGGCGACATAGATAATGCGAGCAATTTCCGGCCCATCTCTCCCCTGTCGGTGCTCTCGAAGTTACGCAAAAAGCTGTTTGTATGCAGCTGTTATCTTATCTCGCTACTAATCACCTGCTGGTCAACTCGCAATATGCATATTGTTGCGGATTGAGGCGCGACATTGGGGCAGCCAGCGAGTTGATCGTGCTGCCATCTGCTAGGCTAGGCGTGTATCTGCCGCTAGGTGTATATCTAACAGTCAAATGAAACTCCAATCAGGCTAATCTCTGAAGGAAAAGGGTTGGCCATGGGTACAGCAGTGTATCCGTGGGATCCTTGGTGGGAAGGACAAAGTCGACAAAGCCATCTTCTTGAATGATGGGCGACTCTTGATAAAAACTAGAGATAACATAAGACCCAAACTGACAAACTGTCACGAGTGAGTATGTTTGGTGAGGAGGCAAGCGTGGTGGACAAAGATGAAAGGCCAAAGACCAAAGCAGAGGAACCATCAATGCCTTTGATCTAATGGACCTCTCCGAGGATGAGCTTGTGGGGTGGCTCGCTGACTGGTGTGGTTGCTGCTAGGCGGTTCACCAGGAAAGTGGGTAACCGTACTGAACGAACCCCAATCATATGTACTGCTCACGTTCAACAAATCCACCTGTTCGTCAAGGTTGGAGTTTGGTTAGGTACATAGTGTATCAGTTGTGACATATACTTCGCCCAAAATGGAGCAATAAAAGAGCAAGCGAGGCACAGGAGTATCTTATCATTTGAAGAAAAGCGATTCCCAGAAAGAGACCTCTCCTCCATAGAGTGTGTGATTAAGATGCAATTTTCACATGATGTATTCAAAAAGCGTCACAATCGTACTCTTAACACCCATTACTAAGCAATAAATGCGAAACGTTGGGTAGTTTCTTGCGTTTTTATCCCTTTTAAAATGAATTCAAAAGTTTAGGCCGTACATGCACTTATATGTCACATCTGTCATTTGATAATCCTCATATTGTATCAGGTTCGTCAGCATGTCCACAATCCCCTGATCTGTCTCCAGTGCGGTAAGTTTGGCCACATGCAGGCTCGGTGTCGTTCCTGTAGTGTTTCCCGTTTAGAATGAGCGTTTCGTTCAAGTACGTCAGTACTTGCTTCTCTATTACGTGCTCTCGCGTTCTCCTCTATTGGCCGCCATATTGGCAATGCTGAGCAATAATACAGTTTAGTGACGAGTGGTGGCGCGGAGTGTTGAACCTGGCGGTGCGGCTGGAGCGAGAAGAAACGCTATATTTCTGGCGACGAGGATATGAGCCTCGACGGGCTTAGGCCGCCTTGAGTCTTTTTACCCACTCCGGGTAAACCAGTTCTACCGTGGGAGACATGGAAGCTACGTTTTAATACTTATCTGCTAGCGACGGGCGGTGACGCATTCGCCGCAGAGCGGAAGCGAGCTATTCTTTTACATTGTTTAGGTGAGGAGGGCCAGCGCATCCAGGAGACGCTTCCTACAGCCGTGAAGATGGAAGGAGACGACGTCTTCACGTTGGCCCTACGCCAGCTGGACACATTTTTTTATCCCACGAGTGAATGCCATTGTCGAACGCTTTTCATTTCGACAACGAGCGCAGCTGCCGCAGGAGTCTACCGCAGAGTATGTATCAGACGTTGCGAGGTCTCGCAGTAAACTGTTAGTTCGGCAGCATGACCGACGATATGATCCGCGACATGGTCGTCGAGAAGACGATCCACCCTCGTCTCCGAGAGAAGCTGCTCCAGGATGCGGAGCTCACTTTGGAAAGGACGCTCGCTACAGCCGATGCGTATGAGAGGGCCCTCCAAGAATCTGCAGTAATGGCGGGCCAGCAATCTTCCTCAACTCCAGTCGTCGCCAAGCTGTCACACCCTCGACAACCAAAGAAAGTGAAGAGCCACAGCGGACTGCCCGAACGTCAGGCCCCATGTACCAACTGTGGTAGATCTTCACATCGAACCGGCTCTGTTGAGGATTTAAAATAGTGCCGCTGTATCTCCTCTAGAATTTGCAGCTGTTTAGCAGATGCAGCGGTTTAGTCCAACATCCGGGAACTTTGCCGAATTTTCATTTTGTTTGACGCATCCGCGTCATATATACATTACTTAGCGTTTCAGCGTTGATTTCATATGATTTTTCATTACTTGCCTTGATCTCGTGGCTGGATGGTTGTTTGTGGTTGATGTGGCAAAATAAAGTGTGCCAAAGACCGATGAGAAGATTTGTGCGTTATGGCCAAGAGTTGTTACGGCCTCGCAGCGATGAGCAATGAGATTTTGAGAGATTTGTCAGAACAATACTGAACAATTTGGTGCCGAAACTCGAGGGATGGCAGGCCTGCACTGAAAACAAGTCGACTCGCCGTTGGTGGGTGAATCCGTGCCATAGGAGTGGTGCCACACGTGTTCACTCTTTGTAACCGGGTTGATACTTGCGGGTTGGGAAAGTATCAGGTAAAACACTCGACTATTATTCATACTACCCGCTTTTTGCAATGAAAGACCCTTCGAATGCGTTGTTGTAATCAGCGACAAGCGGGTTAAGAAATGACTCGCGATCGGAGAGTGAACAGTACACGCATTGGGCGTCACCATTACCCGCCGACACGGGATACACTCACATATTTGCAGGAAGTATCCGCCTGGCCCGTTATCTGTACCCGCCGCCGAACATCCGCGGGACTAAAAGTCCCGGATGTTCCCGGATGTTAGGGTACTCTTGGATGCCGGGTACAGTACCCTGACGTGGAAGATTTGCGGCCGAGTAACGCCAACGGTCGGGCACAACGGTCGCCATATTACCGCGCGCGGTGCCTTGGGAGTGTTGGGTCCGCTGCGTCTGCTGACGCTACAGTGCTCGGCTTTTATCTGAAGACGGTGAGTAATCATGCATTGTGATGGGACCAATATGATTATGATGAAATATTTATTTGTGTGGGTGGGATGCATTTTATCAGCTATCTAATACTGAGCTTATGTTAGTTACTTGCAGTTACTTGCACATGTTTGGTAGGTACGTACCTACCTACATTTTATGCTTGTGCTACTTGCTGGCAACCATTCATTTTTTGTGCAAGGTATTTCAGTGTTACCACAACTTGTCACCCATTTAAGATATTTTGCACCTGGTTGAGGGGGACATGGAAGTGCAAGTGATACATGCTATTCAAATCCAAAGTCTTCAGTGTTGGAATTTGACCATTTTCTGCTGAATAATTTTGCTCTCCAACCAAATATTCGCCTTTCAATAAATTATTCACAATGAATTCACAATGAATTTTCACAGCCATTTTCTGCACAATCGTGCACATACACATTAACCCTATTACTGGGGGGGGGGGGGGGATCGGCCCCCGCCGGTAGTTTTTCAAATCTGACAGAAAACGTCTGGAGCCAGCTTCCTGAAATTTGATGACTTTTTATTGAGCACCGTGTGCCAATTTTTTTGCCTTTCGTATAGCCCATTGTCGTCCCCAGGGCCAATTTCTCCTGGACACTTTTCGGCCGTCTTGACGATTTCGATATACTGGGACCGCTTCTGATTTTCGAATATTATAAAAACCGGAGTATATATCATAGCCCTATTCATCAAGTAGCTGCTCCTAAAACATTATCTTAATTGGATAAAAAACAACATCATAGAGTTTTTAGTGACAACGTGAAAATCGTGAAATATTAGGGGAGAAAGCCACTGTAAACCCAAATTTTTGACTTTTAAATTGTTTTATAGCACATCAAATAATTCACGATGAGGGCAATTGAATGGCGTTTGTCCCATCGAAATCGGCCGGTTAGTCAGAGACCTTAAGGGGGCCGAATCGCCCCCCCCCCACACACACACACACCAGTAAACGAACTCCAGGTTCAGAAAGCCCACCAGTAATAGGGTTTAGTTGGCCTGGTGTTTAATTTCCAGTAATGTATTGGCTATGTCTGTGAAGCTTGTCCTAGTCATTGTTATATAGTTCCTCTCTGTTCGTCAGTCTCGTTCTGTCCTGTCCTGTTTTATATTCGTTATCCGTCCATTCTCAAATCGCGTGGAATGTTTTCGGTAGTTTTGTTTATGTAACCTTTCTGTCAGTGCTCCTCACCCCAATCAACATCATATTCTGTTAGTAATTAAAATAATTATCACCATTGTTCATCACTGTTCCGCAGATATGGGAAGAGTATGCGCGACTGAAGTCGGACGCTCGGGGCGGCAAGGCCGTCCAGGCTGATGCACTACGGGAGCTCAAAAAAGTTCTTCGCAACGTACCCGGTAAGGGACAGTAACAGTCGGGGAACAATTTGCCCGATAGATTTGTAATTTGCATGCATCTTTTTTCCTCGCCTCACGTCCAATTCGACAGGTCGCATTAATTCATAGCTTCCCCTTTCACAAAGGGTTAAAAGATGGAAATTAAGACACCAAGCTGCATCAAAGGAGTTGTTTTTAATCAAAAGTTAACTCTTTCAAGTTTGACCTTTTTAACTCGTTAACGCTTTTTAACTTTTTTTCGTCTGATCTTGAGGAAAATTTCCTAAATAGATGTCATCGATTCGTCATCGAATTCTACAAAATTGTAGGATAGCATGTGACGCAGGCCTTTACACACTTAACATGACCCGTTTTGACCTGAGCTTGGCATTTGATTGTGCCTATCACACCTTTCCCTGTCATTTGTCAATGTATTATGCTAGTTTGGGTTACATTGGTGCTGCCGATAGACTGGTTTCTACGGCTAAGGAGACGCCAGTGTTCATCTCGCATCATGCTCTTTGACATGACCTAAGACCTTTCAAGAAAATTGTTATTGTGCTATAAACTCGTCTCGTTGATAGCTTTCCTTTGCCGCCTGCCTCCCCCCTTGCACCTATTGCTTCGGGAGTCTGTTATCGGCCGTGGGCGTTTAACGCCCCCTCCCGTCGCAACAACAACCCTAGTAACTGCCAGGTTAACCCGCGCCCCGTTGGGATCTGGCGACCCTCCCCCGTTGGGGGAGGGGGAGGGCATTTTGGCCCCCGAAGATATCTCGAGAACCACGCGACGTAGCGACAAGCGACAAACGGCGTTGGGTAGACCTGGTGGTGAACTCTCAAAAGCATATAAATTTTAAATCGAGGTCACGGGTCAGGTCAAACCGAGGTGAAACGTGAAATATCGCATTTTTGCTATGTTTTACTATGACGCCTGCTGAAATGAAGCTTTCCAGATGCTTCTTTTTATCAGGGAAGCCCTTAGACAGACACACAACCTCACTGAAGGGCCTAAGGGGTGGTGCACATCAAAGGTCAGGTCAAGGTCAGGTCACACAAGGTCAACTTTCAAACATGAAAAACATGGTCATGCGACACATGTTTTTAGGTCAACTTTCAGACAGGAATCCACCTGTAATGGTCTAGAAAGTGTATCTGAGACTTGGAAGCGAAAACTCAGTAGGAGAAGTCAAGGTCTAATGAGTTCAAGGTCACGCAAGGTCAAATGTGTAACATGACTACGCATAGTTGTGCGATACATGTTTTTAGGTTATTTTTCCAAGCGTAAGTCACTAAAACACTCTTTAACACTCTTATTTGTACCATGGATACTCTAAGAAGTCATTTAAATGCCAAATTTGAAGTTTGGATGGGTCTGCACTATTGATCAACCAGGCGGTCAACACCTAAGAGCTATAAGTTCGTAACCAAAAGTGATATCGGCCTGAAATTTTCAGTGTACATGCACTAGATAGGGTTCTAACACATATGTTCCGTTTTTTTTTTGAAAATTTTGAAATATAAAAAATATTCATTATTTTAAAAAAAACATCATTTTTTGAAATATTTTTTTTAGAAAACTAAAATTTTGAAAATCCGAGATGGCAGTTTTGTAGGCCCGTCTTTTCTTTACAAAATCATGCAAATAACTTAAAGATTGATTAATAACTCTGACTTTGGTGAGCGTGTAAAGATGACACTATTTTTGACATGACCTCAGTTTGACCTCAATAACTCTTGACCTAAGGTGATCTATGACCTGAAATTTTGATGAAGGTGTCAAATTGATGTCCGGAAAGGTACCCAAAATTTGGCGGAGCTTCGCGCTGCCGCTTTCTTGCTATTTGCGAAAAAACACCGGGGGGCAAAATGCCCCTCCCCCAACGGGACGCGGGTTAAATAATGAATTGCTTTCCATTTCCCTTCCCCCAATGACTTCAGTTTCCTCCAATCCAATCAGTTTTCACTGCGGTATCGAAACAAGTGCTGGGGCGAAAAATACCCTCTTCGTGAGACTCGGTACATTGAAATGACTCAGATTTTGCGGTTACTTCATGGTCAGGAAAGGAGACATCTATAGTGTTTGGTTGGTTCAGTGCAAAATCTAGTGAGTTATACTTAGTGCAAACAATACATGACAGCTGTTCCCGTGATTGAGTAGCGATGTAACATACGAGTAAGAGTTGATGCTGTGATCTGTGCCTAGGTGTTGGCATAGATGAGAATAACATTGCGCATTGTTCTGTTCTCTGCATAGGCCACGACGCCGAAGGTCTGGTGGCCTCCCTGAAGGAACTGGAAACAGTTTTTGTAGAAGAGGAAGGACATCATACATACCCCGTGATCGTGCGGCGGGGTGGTAGTGCTGCCCTCTTCGTGGAGGGGGTGCACTGCGCCGCCCTCAGTGGGAGCGAGGAGCTCCAGCTCCTCACGTGGGCGGTATCGTTTTCCGTGTTCTGCCAGCCGCTCTACTACCTTGGCATCAAGAACACGGCCACTTTCCTGGCGGTATACGTAGTACATTCCGACGTTAAGAAGGATGTTCCGACGGCGCTCCAGGCCGTGCTCACTAAACTTCTCCCAGCCGGCGAGCTGCAGCACTGAGCGAGAGAGAGAGAGGTCCTGGTTTCCGACTCATTCGCCGGTTTTTCATTGACTGCGGTCGAACTGGACGAGGGCGTGGTCCTGTCACGCCCCACTGCCACATCGCCTGCCCATTATTCGCCCTTCATGGGAGCCACGGACGTTGCTTTGATGGCGGTGTATATGTGACAGGGCCCACTGCCACATCGCCTGCCCCTTATTCGCCCTTCATGGGAGCCTAGACACGGACGTTGCTTTGATGGTGGTGTATATGTGACAGGGGACTTTGTTTAAGTGTTTAAGAGGGTTACGTTTTTGCAGCGCTAAAACTAGAAAAAAAACTGGATCCCTGAAGTAAGGGAACGAATGGTACGAGAAGGCGTCAATGATTGTGCACTGTGACTGTGCAGTGAATAGAAAAATAGAAAGCGCATGCTTCTGTTATGTGTTATATTTCGTGTTGTATTTCGGGGAAATATATCCGTACTGACCGGGTAAGAACCGCGTGTATACCGAGTAAAGACTGCGCACGGGGGTAAAGTATCCGACAAGAGGGGGTAAAAGTACCCTCGGCAGGGGTGGTTTAAATATATTGGCGAGTAAGGTTATTCGCCAGTAACGGGTTATACGCCGGCAACGGGTTGAAATTCTACCACCCAGGGAAGAGTAAACATTGGCTGCGTGGGTAACAGAGCGAAGAGTAATCACTTCTCTGCGGGTACACGTAAAGAGTTAACCCGACGGTGGGGGGTCAGCTTGCTGGGGTATATCCGTCAGAACAGGATAGGGTGATCCGCGAGGGAAGTGTAAAAATTACCCTCTGGTGCATAGTCAAATATGGTTGCGAGTAGGGGTACCCGTAATAAACGGGTTTTACCCGCCGACGGAGAGTAGAATTGTTTTGAGTGTGGATGAACTGGTGCGCGCCAGAATTGCCGCCCGAGGTTGGCTCAAGCGGGAATTATAAAACTTGAGCAGGTCATCGAAGGTAAAGGTGATCTAGTGGAGCTAGAGTGTGCATATGCAGAGTTTGAAGCACGTCTGTTGAAGGTTGACTCGCTGCAGGAAAACATTGAGATGTTAATCGACAGTGCTGAGCTCGATGAAGATATCAGTATTCAGTAAGGCAGCAGAAGTGAGGGAGCGGGCGCACCAATGTAAGATACTAGCATTGCGTGCTCGTAAAGCTCTCCTTGATCAGGCTGCGGAAGACCATGGTGACAGTGATTCTTGTGGAATCAAAACAGTGAACCTGCCAAAAATTGAGTTACCCAAGTTTGGGGGAGACGTGTTGGAGTAGTCTACTTTCTGGGACCAATTCCAGGCAGCAGTGGACAGTTCAGATCTCCCAGAGGTGTCAAAGTTTGTGTACTTGCGCTCTGTCCTATACGGAGATGCGAAGGTCATAGACGGGCTGGCTGTGGTGCATGGGAACTATGAAACAGCCTGCAAGCTACTGAATGAAAGATTTGCCAAGCCGTCAAAGATCATTTTTTGCTCATGTCAATCAGCTCTTGCAGTTGGGTCTGAAAGACGGTGATGAAAAGGTATTTGTATTTGACCACAGCAGACACTCCACAGACAATTCGTGGCTATTACGTGTCCTTAGTCAGATGGCAAGTAAAAGGGGTCATTAATGTCACGGTAAAAGACAGGTTAAAGTGAAACTCGCATACAGTCACACACACATACTCACACACACACACAAACGCCTCATCACTCTATCACCGGAAAAATTGTCTGGCGGCTCTTTTAAAACCCACCGGACCTAGTTGTACTGTACAACACATTCAGGGATCGAGTTTAAAAGGTGCGCCGCGCGATATTCAAATGAACGCTGTCCGGCTGCTGTACGCATAGCTGGCGGACGCAGGCTTCACTCAATATACCCTGCAGGCGACGGTCCTGTCGAGTCACCCGGTCACCTCCGGCAGTTCAAGGCCCTATATACCAGGTAGGGTCGTCCGGCGATTCTACCTTTTCGTGACGTCAGCTCGTGACGTCATTTGGAGTCAAGTCTCGAAGCCCCGTTCAATCCCCATGTAAATGAGCGATTTTCGAAGCACTGTAGAATGAAGTCTGCACAAGATATATCAAACCTAAGTATTTTATCTGAAAGAGCAGACAATTTTCTGCAAGTTATCTATTACGTGTTTTTTGCTAAATCTTTTGCTTTTTTCACAAAAGCGTAAAATGTCCCCCCATGTCTCCGCAGCCTCCCTGCCGCCGGCCGCCGCGCGGTCGCGGTAGTGTAGTGGTTAGCGTGCCCGCGCAGTATTCCAAAGGTCCCGAGTTCGAATCTATGCGGTGCGGAACTTTAATTGCAATTCCAAGCTGAATATACGCACATCCATAATAATTTATTATTCGTATAGCTAAACTGTCACCAAGCTATCCATATAAATTGACTTCAACCAAAATATCGGCAAGATTCTATTAAAACGTAAATTCAAATATGGCGGCTTGGACTGCCGCGTGCGGTAGGCTCCGCCCAAAGCTCCGCCCACATGCGTGACGTCATTCGTGTTAGTGGACACACGCGGAGATAGGGGACGACATGGGCCTGCGGCAGTTGGCCGCCGGCCCGCGCAGGGCGTGGTTGTGTTCTGGTTGGCGGTGCGCCAAGTGGGCGCGCAATCGCAGACGTGGAATAAATAACTCACATTATACCAAATTGGCGACAAGGATGAGGTACAGGTGAAACCTTGTAGCGCTGATTGTGAGTGACGCGTGATGATCAGTGGTCAGTGCCAGTGCACGCAGTGTTGCCGTCCTGGTACTTTAGTACCAGATCTGGTACTTTTTCGACCTTTCTGGTACGGAGGTACGCCGGAACGAAATCTGGTACTTTTTCGCCGAAATGCATTTTTTGGCATTTTAATATTTCTTAACAATTCTTCAAGTCAGGAAGGATGGTGTTTCTTTTCACAACTTATCATGCATCGGATTCGGAATTATTAATACCTATTCCGGTTGTGTGATAGCAGAAGTAAAGTAAACAAGTGGAAAATTCGCGCGCCACGCCGGCTGCCAAGGACGGTCCGCCGGCTGCAGGCCGAGGCAGTTGTTGTACTTGTGTCCAAGGCCAATTGCGTCGACGGTCAAATAGCTAGGGAAAGAATGTTATTTGAATCAGTGTCCAAGATTGTGCGATTTGGTTAGAGAACTAAATGACACCCAAAAAAACAATTTTCCATTCTCACTGGCATATTACCTACTGTGGCTGTGGCAATTTTCACTCCTTCATTGCATGTTAGGATCCTGGGTGCAATCGCCATTCGCCAGTCTCAACTGGAGTGCCCCCCCCCCCCCCCCAGGAGTGCCCCCTCTCGAAGGCAGGATTTCGATTTTTCTATGTTTAGGCCAATTTTAGGTATATGGCGGCCCCGGTGGCGCAGTCGGTTAATTGGCGTCGTCCCGCGGTGTGGGGGGTGCCGGGTTCGACCCCCGGTTCCTCCCGTTCCGCGGGGCGTCGTCCCTGGCTGCGTCACCGGGTGTGGGGTAGGGCTCCCACTTCAGCCGTAGCCTGGGGGGTGGGGAACAAGGGCCAGGAGGAGGAGGAGCCCTCCTGTAAATGGGATACAGTGCCCGTTGGAGGGAGGTCCGATTAAAAAAAAAAATACAATTCGGGCTTTCAGAAGAGCGCCTTTCTGTCTTTAACGGGCGAGGCGGGGAGACGAATGAGTGAATTACCGGGTCAATGGGTCATACATTACTTACTGGCATGAACATACCGAAATTATGGCTATTTTTATAGTACTGAATTAAAAATATTTTGACCTACAACGATCTGGTACGGTACAGAGCCAGAAACAGCCAATCTGGTACGATTTGGATGCGATCCTGGTACGCTGTAAAATCTGGCCGCGGCAACACTGAGTGCACGGGATCGGCGAGGGCGGACACGCCAAAGGCGGTGAGAGCGCAGAATGGTGCTTAGTGCTTGGTATGAATGCTTAGTGCTTAGTGTTTTTATTTGCGCGCTTGCGCTGCTGCTGGTAGTCTGCCTGTCGCACGGCGGCCGTGGTCGTCGCAGGATTTCCATGTGATCGCCGAAATTTGTGGCGGCCATGATGCCTCGGCAGTGTGGTGTGCGTGGCGCATGCGTCGGCGTGCTGCACGCTGATTGGTCGGCGGGGGGTGATGCGCGGCTGTGGCAGCGCGTGTGATTGGCCGATTGGTGCGGCGGAGAGGGCCTCAATGCGGTTTGAGGTGCCTGGTCCTCAAGCGGATAATTTCGGCGGGAAGCTGGCGCGCGGCCGGGCGGTTCGGGACGAGTGCGCATGCGCGCGCGGTGACGTGCGTGTGACGTCACTACCACGTGGCGCCCCCGTCGAGTAAAGCGCGGGAAACCGGGGTGAGACTAAATGCTTACTTCGAAATCTAAGCTGTGTTGCGGCATTGGCGGTTATGTGCGGCGTGTATGCCGCATGATTAGTAAGCGGCGACCACTAAATTAAAGACTTAAACGCTCCAACCTGTTTTCAATGAATAACACTGCATACCAAAAATGCCAATCACTCTCGTCATAAGATATTTAGATTTAAATAACTAAGTTATCTGCATCATCATTTTGAACCAAATTAATGCCTCCAACTTAGTAGGTACTCACTCATTCCTTCCTTCGTTGGCTCCAAACAGTCTTTCGATTGTCTGGAAATCGTATGCCAAATCCCGCACCTGTATACGACTGGTGCATATAAAGGCCGATGTAAGAATTTCAATAGGCTCTCGCATGCGATTTCCTGGCTACCCAAAAAGTCTGTTTCAGTCATGCTATCAAAACATGGTATGTCAGCCCTGTCACCAGCTTATGACTGCTCTACTTGTAGTGCCCCTGACCGTCACCGACTCCCTTCCCTCCTTAAAAGCCTAGTTTCCCACCATCATCTCTACTAGATTTAGGTGATGCTCCGACAAATTCACAAGACCGAACTTGTTCGGAGTTCGGACTGTGAGTTAACCCTCGCCCTTTAGGGGGGGGGGGGGGGTCGAACGGACTCCCCTCGGTTTTTCGCGAATAACTCGCGTAAAAAGCGGCCGATCACGACGTAACGTTTAGTACCCTCGCGTTGATCAATTTTACACCTATCCTGAAAATTTCATGACCCTGACGCAAATAACCTTTGACCTGTGACCTACTTTTCGAGACCATGTTTGGCCGGAACCGCGATTCAGCGTATGTCGGCTCGCATTAGCAGCGCGTTTGCAGTCTTTTCGTGGTTTCAAGCGTTCAAACATGTGATATGATGTTGCCCCCATGCATTAGGGTGGGTGGCAAGGTCACCTGAAGGTCAGGTCAGGTCATTGACCTTTGGTGACCTCGGTTCACTTTTTCGAGTTTGACATGTTTCTAGGCCAGTTTTTCGAGCTGAATTCGAATTTAGCAACCACATGAACGTTTACAAAGTAGTTTTGGTGCCTTCGTAACATGTTACGAGGCTGTCAGAGGCGGTTGACACCTACTACAAATACCCGGCAGGACCTCTACTGGTTGA